TTTTTTTTTAAACTGTAGATTAATTATCCTTTGAATACTGCATTCACTCTTATAGGTTTTTCACCGCACTTAATATAATGCCTTAGAATTGCTCTAATAAAATTCCACACCTGAGAGGATCGATTTACTTCATCAGAAATATATGGGCTGTTATTTCTGAAGAAGAAGAATTGTTATCCACGAGACAGATGTTAGTGCTTTTCACTAGTTATGTTACTGTTTATTACGACATTTAATTGATTTACTTTTAATCGCGAGCATCTATCATCCTATGGAAATTAATTACTTTCATAATCTTATCTAAACTTAGCTATATATATTTTATTATACGATAATGTAAATGGGACCGATTATTTTTTTAAACTTATATAAAAGATAATGTGAGATAATATCGTATATTATAATATATTATCTAGTTCAATTTTCATCTTGTAGCTGGTAAAAGATAGTATTTAAAATTTAATTCGTCCATCATATATTTTGAATTTTGGTCTAATGAATTCTAAGTCAGAGATAATCAATATAGATTAATATTCGTTATTACTGTAGGGCTGAGATTCAAATACCATGTATATTATTTACTATGTAGTCATTTAAAAATCAAATGTTGATAGTGGCATCATTAACAAATTATTTAAAGAGGTTTCTATCGAGTATACGTAACAAAAATAAAAAATAAAAAATATAATATGAAATATATATATAACTTATCTTAAATTTCCTATATATACAATATACATACAATTTTGAAAAATGTTTGCGCTTTTGAAACAATGKGTGTTTATTGCTAAAAGAATTGTGTATAACTATAAAATTACTTTTTTAATTACTTGAATATTAATTAGTGTTCTAAAAAAAAATACCCATATATATATATTAACCTAACCAGCTTAAGTAGTATTATTTTCTTTTCAATCTGTTAATTTAAAACATCTATTTATCATTTATGTAATTATAATGTTTGACATTTATGAAATGCCATGATCAATAGTTTACTATAAGTGAAGTATGTTTTTACTTGAGTCCTTATTTTTAAATTGTATGTTAAATTAATAGATTTTRATCTGTAAAATAAATAATTTGTATTCTTATTTTTAAAGTCATCTTACCCAGAGGTTTTGGGAGGGTTTATATATTTTAATATGTTGCACCACWTTATATTTATGTAAATCAAATACTAAATTGTATACTGTTTGTGAACTAAGGAAACCCGGGGCAAGATGAGAGTTTAAGGTAAAAGTAAATTGTGTGTTTACTCTAAATACACCTATATCATTTTGAGTAGATGGTTTTGAAGTTTAAATTTATCATTTTATATTTAATTATTTGGTATTAAATTAACGGTGTTTAAAAAGGTAGGGGTTTTCCCTATCTTAGAACGGAGTATTATTTGAAAAATGTCATACCTATAATTTAACATTTATTAACATTTCTTAAAATGTTTAATATTTTCATTGTTTTTTAATGTAAACAAAAATAAATACCCAACTGCAAAATATGCCTAATATTTAAAAATTATTGTTATGAGATATTTAATGATAATGTAGGTACAACTTATTATGAAGTTAACGAAAAATCACAATCATAGTATCAATTATTGTTATTTTACTTAAGCAATTATGATCGAAAAATTTGTTGATTTTAATGATGCATTAAATTTGAATAAAATAACTATTAAAATATATGATGTGTTAAATATATTTTAAGAAACCATTACCTATTTGTTTTTAATTTTATTTTTTATTACTATCTATTAATTCCTCAGTTGTTCTTATTGTTCTTTTTTGTAACAGATTAAATAAAATATCGTAAAAACAAAACAAAATCGATTTCGGTTTTATTGTTGTAAATCTTGTGAAATTTAGTTTCTATTTCCAAAGATTAAATACCTACTAGATTTACGGTAAATTGTATTTTAAGCATAACTAAAAAAACCTTAAATTTATCGGTATACCAATATCCAACGCAAAGCTGGGGAGGCGATTATTTCATAACCCAGTTTCGTGATGTTGATGTATTCTAAAATAAAGTTTTGTGTATTTATAACAAATAATGATTAATTAACGAGTATCTTAGTTAGTTTGGTAGATAGATTATCGGTGTGTATAATTACAATTATTTGATTTTATACCTACAGAATTTAGTTAACAATTTTAGTTTACGTTTTTAAAATATTTAAAATTAAATTTGAACATCATACATAACTTTTATACAAACAGTTTATAATATACCAGTTATTGTTTATAGTATTTGTTTTACCTGAGCAAAGTAGACGAAAAATTGACAAAAACCTTGCATATGGTATATCCTGATACCAACTTTGGGTAGTACAGGCATCAGTTGTATTAATAAAAATAATGTATCACTGATTGCTAACGAAGATAAATAATATGATGACGATTGTTTTCGTAATTTTGTTCCAAAAAACACTAGTACTGATATACAATTTCCCAAGCTTCCGAGACATACAACAGCCAACGGATAGTATTTTACAAACCTAGAAAGTAGATAAAGTTAGGTTATTCGTTTTTTAAACCGTTTTAATTAACAATGAGTATCATTATTATAATTATGAGTATCATAATTCATATTTATAACTGAGTAATAAACTAATAATGTTTATATTACTTTTGATCCCTAAAAGTACCAACTAGATCAAATTATCTACCCTTAATATTGAAGATCGAAGTAAACTTATTACTATAAAACATGTCACTAGACAAAAATAAAACATGTTATTCTAAGCTCAGCTTCGCTCAAAATCRATAGTGAATAATATAAGAATAAGTATAAAAATAAATAGCAGTGTTATAGAACAAAATACGTTATAGTTTCAAAATTTTCTTTTCTTTAAATTTTTATGGATTAAGAAATGTATTACTATTTATTAGTATATTTTAGTATTGATTTAACATGACTTATATTTTTAAAGTAATTTTTCAATATTAAGATATATTATATTTTTATTGTAACAGTTATATAACTTACCTGTCAGTTAGGCTTATTTCGTCTTCTAAATTTTCATTCATATCAGTCGACATTATTTTGAAATTATTATTCAATTATTTTTGTAGAAATATATAATCGTTCACTTCTAAATCCCTGAAATGTATAAACACATAAAAAAAAGAAGGTAAATATCATTTGCAGTCTTGTAGACGCATTTAGTGATCATTAAGTATTAAATTATTGTCATCGGCAATATTAAATCTGTTTGCATCACATAATAATTTACTAAAGATTATTAATGATAATAATTGTAAAAAAACTAAAAATTTAATTGTTAAGAAAAGTTATTAATTATTATAGTACCTAGGTATATAGGATATTAAAATCATTATTATTATTTATATTGAAATAATTATTTTATTTATTTATCATTTCAATATAATTATGATTATATATTTTGAATATAACTTAATAGGTAATTAAACTGAGTTGAAATAACTGAGAAACTATTTAGGAGTGTGTTGTCTTAATGGTTAGAACCTGCCTACTAACTCCACTAAGACTAAAATTTACATTATAGATTAATTTTCGGATGAAATGTTAACACTAGTTTTATACTAATTTTAAACCCAACATACTTGTGCGTATTATTACATTAATTTTTTTATATGAATAAAATGTGTTTGGAATTTTAGAATCTGAGTGTAGCGTTGTAATATATTGATTTTGCAATGATGTGTATTTTTTTAAAGTCCGGAAACACTGTTTTAGAAAAAAAAACTGCTCCGATCATCAACTTCGAAGGAAGTTTCTGGTAACAAATTAGATCAAGTCGATACTATCRGGGAAGGTCAAAATGATTAAATTTTAAATTTCAAATGTTGAAAATTTTAATTTTAATTGTATTTAAAYATAAATAAAAGTGCTTATTTAAAGTTTGAGCTTTAAGATTATAGCAATGTATTAATTTGATTTCTTAAATAATTAACCGATTTAAAATAAGGATACAAAAATTTTTCACCTATTTCTATAACATTATGTATATAAAATATTAGTAGGTACCTTTGTMATATATTTATAATGATATCTGAAATTTGGATCAAAAGCAGTACTTTTAATATTTTAGAAAATTTGTGTTGGAATGAGGTTATATAACTTTAATAAAGCATTTTATATACGATTCGATAGAGTTTTGGTACAAAAAGGCATATGTCAAAGGATATGGTAGGTATTGAACACCAAAACTTCTACTAACTCCCAAGTTTGAAAATATTTAACTTCCGAAAGTTGTGAAAACTGAGATTGCTATTTTATATCTAAATTAAAGAAAYAGTATTTCTTATTAATTGATTGCTTGTATGAACTATTTCTTTGAAAAGCAAYAAAATGCTCATTCTATTATCAAGGAAATAAAATGTTTGAAATTTTAAAAACTAGTTTTACTCATTCACTTAAATTCTTGTGGTTTAAGGTTAGCGTTGAAATCAATGATTATACGTTTATAACTTATAGCTATTGAAATTATTTTTTACTTATTTATCAACTACTCAAACACTATTTTTATTTCCCATTAAATGTTATTTAAATTCGAATTTCAAACAATTAAAAACTGATTTAATTAATTGAGTTGTAAACATTTCTAATTTAGTATTTTATTAAATAAATKTCGCTTATAGGCTGTAGAGTGTAGGTATATTTCTGTGTCTAAGTTAAATGAATTCAATACATGTAAGACATAAATAATAATTTCGTTTAAATTTATATAATAGTATATTGCAAATGAATAAGTTAGTATAGGTATAAAATTAATTATAAACATTTAATTGATTGATTCATATAATTTATCCAAAGTTGTATACGTCACCTAGGAAATAGGTAATTTTATATTAATCTAATAAAAAARTTACAAAAATATTTTTTTAATTTAACTAATAGCATTTATTTTTATGTCTAATGTATTATTAAAATTATTGCATTGTTTTATGGTTACAACTATTTGAATATTGAAATATTATTCCATGCATTAAATTATCGAATATTGTATTATAAAGCATTTTTGAATGTTTTTAAAAGTTTGGTTATGACTTTGAGTAATCGACTGACAAGATTTTCTGTATTATTTTCAAATGACATTAAAGTTTGGTGCTCTTCTAACAAAATGTTCTTAAAAAGAGTTACCTAATATTTTGTATAATATTTCATCACGGAGTATCATCAATGGTTCACTTCACTGCACATGTTTCTATCAAGATATTTATTAACTTATAGCGCCTAAATACTTATTGTATAACAAATTTTCAGATTTAAAACAAACTAAAAATAACTTCAAATGCATATTTTATTATGCATTTTAGATTCCGAGCGGAGCGATGAATGTATCGATTTTACCAYGATGTGTGTTTTTTTTTATTTATTTTTTTTTGTCTGTCATCACGTTTTGGGGCAGTAAAATTTCTTCGATTTTCGACTTCAGTACCTCGTTCGATCAGAAAGTGAATCTGGTTGGTACTTTAGGGAGTCATAAGTAAAAAATTCTTAATAATTTTCTAAATAATCGGGATAAGCAAACTAAAAATTAAGGGAAAAACGGGAATTTTTACGCACAATCAGTTTTCAACAAAATAGATTTTGGTTTTTTTATGTAATTTTAAAACAAATGACTATAGATACAAGACATTTTTACTGAATGTTTATATAAGTWTAWTCTATCCTCCATAAAATTTTCAAAAAATTTTGACTTAAGTTTAACTATTCAAAAAMCCGATTTTGTCGAAAATTTCAGGTTTTATACACATACTTTTTATTTTTTGTTTAAWAAAAAAACTGAGAATTTTTATTTTTGATTACTTAAATGTACCAACTTAATTTACGTTTCAACAAGAAAAGATATTGAAGTTAAACATTGAAGCATTTTTGTTGAACGGATCGTGTATACGAGTAGGTACATACAAAAAACACTCGAACACATCGTTATAAAATCAATAAATACATTCATCAAATAAATAAAGTACCCTATATAAATAATAGTTTCATAATTATAAATATAATATTTATATATATATCATGTCAAGAAAATGGTTATATAAATACTTATTGAACATTTTTAGTCTATACATTCATGTTTGAATTAAATAATAAGAAAGAAATCGAAATTAGGGGTTGTGTAAATATTTCGTCATTTKTATTTTTTTTGGTTTTACCAATTGTATCAAGAGCACCGGGAATTTTCACTTTTTATCTTATATACCAATTAGATGTAATTATTAAATACACAACACACACAGCATTGTGAAACCAATGCATTAATTTATACATTTATTATATATTATATAACACATTCTACATTTCAATGCTAATTTCCAAAAAAAAACATATATGTATACTAATATTAAATAAACAAATCAGTGATTTTTAAGTATGACAATGATTAAAAAAATATGATAGGTAGTGTATACGTGACAAAAAAAAAAAAATCGTTCTAAAATCAGTACATTCATCCCTCCGCTYAGAATCTAGAAGGAATTTAAGTTTGAAGAACATAAAATTAATAGATTTTTAAACAATAATAAAGTTTTTTGTATAAATGACGTTAAAAAAATATAAACACCACAGCACGGTAAATATTATCTTGTTTATATTATAGTTTATAAATTTGATTTTATCGCTATAGTATTGTATACCTGTAAAATGGTTATTTTTTGCTGTATATCGCTTTTTTTTTATATACCTAATCTCGAATCACGCAACGACCAGTAATGGTAGTAACTTATCACCACTTGTTTGTTTTTATGAATTAGAATTTAAATTTATATATGGTTTAAAATGTTTCTCAAATTTTCATTAAAATTGCCCGTATTAAATACCTCTAGAAGGTGTATGTCCTCTTAAAAATACAAATATTAAAAACAGGTTATGTAAAAATAGATAACATTTTTTATAACAGGTACCTTAATTTCAACCATGTATAAAATATGGTAAACATTTTTACGGCTAAGTAAAATGGGTATACAACATGTGTATATGACAGAGACGAATGGTATCACCATCGCGCCCTTTAAATATAATATACAATATTATTTTAACTTTTGGAATAGTTTTAAATACTTTAAAATCAGAGTAAGTATTGGATATATTTTTAATTTCAACTTACTGAATTCATCTTTTACTTGGAAGAGAAATCCTACACCTTAATCTTCTTGAAAAATTGTCTGGTTTTTACAAAAAATAAACATATCTTCTAAAATAACTGTCAATTATAATATATTTTATATTAGATGAATAAGCACTTGGTTTTAGACAATTCTTAAATAATTTTTCCATACAAATATTCAATCAATGGCATAGATTAAAGATTATATACATTGTTACAACTTACAAAGCAGGTATTATTGTAATTTTAAATGTTTTTAGTGGTTATTAATTTATAAGACTATCAATAATACTTGTTAAAAACTTCAATCACATAAGTAATGTTTTTACTTAGTTTTGATAATTTATTGCTTTTTAAAAGTATTATACCTTTAGATATTATAGAAATTTAGTTTCTTTATTTTTTTAATGTAACTTTTTCATTATTTAATATTGAATTTTTTTCTTTTTAACCTGCTAAAAAATCTTGATATTTTTTGTGATTAATTTGATCTAGATTTTTTGCAATTTATAATTGTTATTTGCTA